GAGCTCAAACCACACGGAGCATCCGCCATTTTGAGAACCAAAGCGAGACAGCCCACGTCACGTCAAGGGGCCTCCCTTCCATTTTTCTTAGAGACACACTGCTCGCTCCCTCACTATCCATCCTTCAGTTCAGTCTTATATTGCCATTCGGTAGTTGAAAAAAGGTACTACTGTACATGCAAAACAAATTAAACGTTTTTCCTTAAATTTTACAATAATTGGAAAAAAATACATGTCGCATGATTTTCACTGCCTTATGCATCGCAAAGAAAACCATACTCCTGAATTGGAAAAATAAAAATAATCTTAGCATTAATCAGTATAAAAATCTTCTGTTAGATCATATTAGTCTTGAAACAGCATCTGCCGACACATTGGATCAATCTCTGTGGGCTCCTTTGATCGGCTCCGTTACATAGTGAGGGTGGGTAGTCTGGGATCTGACATTGTGGGGCCTTGGGGTTGATGTGGAGGCGGGTGTATGGGTTTGGGGCCCCGGGGGGGTTGCCGGGGGCTGGGCTCTTGGGGGTACCTGGGCAGGGGGGCACTGCTTTCCCTCTGGGGAGGGCCTGGGTAGTTCTGGGGGATATCTGCTGGTGGCTGCATGCAGGCCCTCAGGTGGTCTGTGGCGGCGGTCGTGGGTCACCGATCTGGTAGCCTGGCTGTGCTGGTGTGGGTTCGGGGTGGGCGCGGGGGCTTGGGGTTCTGGGGGCTTGTCGCCCCCGGGCTTGGGCCTGTGGGGTTCGGGAATCTTGGGCTCTGGCGGGCGGGTTGCCGGGCTCTGGGCCGGCTTGCGCTCTGGTGCCCGGTTCTGGGCGGGGGCCTTCGGCTCGCTGGTGGGTTGTGGGTTCATGGGCTGGGGGGTTGGGTGTTTGGGGGCGTGACCAGTGGCCCCTAAGAGGGGGTAGTTTGACCCAGCCTAGGTGTCTAGTGTGCTATGTGTTTTGAGAGATGTCCGAATGAGGGGTGGGTGTAGTATTTCTTCTGGGGTGGGGATGGGGTGGATGTCCTTGGGGGCGGCCCGGGACTGTGCATGGCCGGCTGGCTGGCCCCTTTCCTGTGGTGGGGGCTCGCTCCCGGTGCTTCCTGGCACTGTCGGCGGTTGGGCGGGCGCTCTTGGCCGGGTCGTCCTGGTGGGGTTTGGCTCCATCTGGTAGCGGGCTGACTGCGGTTTGTGGGGGTCCTGGTGGCCCTCGGGTGTGTAGGCTGCTGGTACAGCTTCTGGCGACCCTCGGGGCTCTGTCCCTCTCTGGTCTGGAGCTCAGCGGGCCTGGTGGTCGGTCCAGAGAGGTGTCTTGGCCTCAATCCCTGGGTGGACCTTGGGGAGCTGGGGGGGGGGAGGGGGGGGGCTGTTGGGTCAGTGGGGGAGCTGACTTCCTGTGGGAGCATTTGCTCTCACAGTTATTTCTCCCCATCCCTCACCATGCACCTCCACCCTCTTCATTTCAATTCCATACATTTAGGGTTGTTTGGGCTCGGGTGTGCTGCAACAATTTTACATCTTTGTTGACCATAGCCACCTGGGACTCAATTTTATTGTACACCTTAGACATTCATTCATAACATCCTCATGACATTCATATATAGGAACTTGAGGTGGGCACATGGCTATGGGTGGTGGGATGACCTTACTCTCACCCCCTGTGCCTGTGCTCACTTACAACGGTTGCATTTAGACACTAGGGTTTGGATAGAGTTGGGGTGGAGGGGAAACTGGCACCATGCCAGCCTTTGCTCCTTCTTCTTTCCTTTTTAATGGCACTATACAACAACACACATCAACAGCACATCTAGGGGCGGGGGTGTATGTGTCAGGGTCTTATTTTTTATTTTTATTATTATTATTATTTATTTTTTTATTTTTTTTCCCCTTCCTACCCACCTAGTTCCCTGACTGCCATTCCGGGGGTGGGGTCCGGGAGAAGGGCAGGCCGTCGGGTGTTGACCAGGACTATGTGGGGGTTCAGGGTCTGGGGGTTGCCGTGGGCGGTGCTGGCGCTGTGCTCTCCCTGGGGTTGTTTGGACCCCCTGAGCTTGGCTCTTGGGTGCCATGGTTGGCCCGCTGGCCGGGGTGGCTGCCGGGGCCTGGCGGGAGGTCGGCTGGGGGTGCGTGCTTGGTTGTTGGCGGTGTGTGGGGGTGGTCGGTGGCGTGTCCTCTTCATGGTGGGGGGGTTTCCTGTCGGCGGGGCATGGCCTGGGCCGGGTCTGGGGTATTGGCTCTTCTCCGCTCAAGAATGAATGGGTTTACCTCCTGGGTTTGGGCATGGGCTGCCCCCTGTAGAGGGCGGGTACATGTCTTGGACCTGGGGGGTATAGAGTGTGTATCGGGAATAAGAATGAAATGTATCGTTATTGTATGTCTTTGAGTGAGTGAATGTGAGACTGAGGTTGGGATTGTGTGATTGTGTCTGTGTATGAATGGGTATTTGTTAGGCCGAGACTCGGACTGGCCCCTCTTTGATACAACTGGGGGTGCTTGGCATCGCGCCCCTATCGCGCAGCCCCCTGGTGGGGTGTGCCCTTACCTGCCGGCGCGCTTGGGGCCCTTGGTATCGGGGGCTGGGTGCTTGGGCGTGTGTCGGCTCGGCCTGGTGTCTGCCTGGTGGGGCTCGGGTCCTCTGGCCCTGTCAGGCCTTGGCCTGGGTGGTGTGAGTCCTCGGTGCCCGGGCCTCGGTGCCTGGACCTGGACCTACATCGGTGCAGCGGGTGCCGACGGAGGCCTATGAGTTTGTCGCTGTTGGCCCCGGGGGGTCACTGTATGTGGTTGCTGGTGGGGATCTTCCGGTTCTCCCCTGTGGTCCGTTCTGGGGGGTGGGTGAGTGGTTCGTCCTGTGTGGGTGGCTCTGGGGGCTCCGCGGTCAGGGTCCCTCCTGGGGTCTTGGGCTCTGGTCCCCCCTTTTTCGTCTGCCTCTGGTCTTGGGGGTCGGGTCTCTGCTGCTTCACAGTTACTAATAAATGTTCTATTAGAGAAGCCTTATACACTTATGCATGCTCACAACCACACACAAATAGAAGCAGGGATGCTTATGTAGGCTTTATATGTAGATATATAGATATGTATGTGAGTGTATATTCATGTGTATGTATGTATGTATGTATATAGGCGTAGGTATGGGTATATATATTTATGGAAACTTACTGCAAAGCCATGAATATTTTAAGTTCTTTATACATATGTATTTTGTTGCTGTGTTTTGTCATGTTCTTTGCAGGTGAACAGACAGTGGCCGGGTGTTTTGACGTGTGCTCTCTTTGTGTATATTTCTTATATTTTGGAGTCTTACTTTGTCTTTTCTTTCTTTCTATTCTATTTTAAAAAAAAACAAACAAACAAAAAAACCTACACTAGATAGTCACTATAATAAATATTTCATAATAATGGTGTGGAGAGGATGGCTGTAAGGGGAGAAGGGAGGCCATCAAGAAAAAAAAATAAAAAAATAAAATAAAATTTGACAATAATTACCAATTACTGTCAAAGTTCAAACAATATTATCGTTTAGCGCAATAATTTCTGAGACAATTAATCGCCCAGCAAAATTTGTTTTCGTGACAGGCCTTCCTTTTTCCCTTGAGGTGTCCGACAGCTACTGTGAATAGTGAGACATTTAATTTTAATTTAGCCAATAAATATCCAGGCTAGAACGAACGTTGTTCTTGTGTTTGCCACCTCGAGTAAACCATTTTCTTGGTTCTTGCGGGCCGTGTAACACGCTTTAAGGTTTGTTCAAGGAGCCATCTACAACATGTACCCACAGAACCTCACTTCAACATGGCTGAAATATTCCTTTAACATTGTTTTTTTTTTTTTTTTTCAAATCTGCAAAACGGCTGCAGAGACCCAGTGCACAGATACTTTGTAACAACTGAAGACACATTTCTGTACAATCTTTTTGAGTGGAACATTTTTAAAATACTGAAACATTTTGTAAATGAGTGAGAAACTGAAATATTGTGCGTAAAATGTTTTTAATATTTGCACAGGCTGTGACACGTTGCTCTCAAAGTGTCTTTGGCAGATTTTTGTAAACTCAAACGTTCTGTTCAGCATCAGCATTTCTCTCCAAATGAAAGCCCTTCTGATAAAAACCTGCACTTTTTTAATATTCAGTTTCATCTTCACATTCCTGGTGCCCAAAACGTTTGAACGTAGAGAAACTTTCACCCTGATGATCCCGTGTATTAAATTTAAATAAATATCACAACTGCATATTTGTCTTTATTCAACTTATCTCACTTCAAATGATTTCAGCTTTTGATTGATATGATTTACTGTCTGATGCAGTTTACGCTCCGTTTGTAATAAACAGGCAACGCTTGTCTTTCAACAGCCTAAAAAGCAAAATATCATTTTATTAATCTTCATCTTTTATTTTTAATAACTTATATTTACAAATATATTTGTTAAAATTATTACCAGGCATAAAAGCGTTCCTTCTTATATGTGACAGGCAAACATTCAAACATTTCTGAATTGTGATCAACTCATCTGAGATCTAATCATAAATCTATAAAAACCAACAGATCAGGAAAATAAATGACAAGTGCTGCAAAATCCTTTTCTACCAGAGTTGAGTGTATTTTAGCTACAGATGTAAACAGTTGTCCTTAAAAGCACATCTGGATTCTTTACGCTGTACTTAAAGTTTGCACAGGTGAATGTTAGGACTCAAAAGCTGCGTTTGTTACTGGAGTTGGCTCACAGGTTCTTCCAGCTTCACGTGTGATTGTCTGAACTTTTAAATAACATCAGCAGGTAAGAAACATTACTCCGTCGTGTACAAGTGTTATAAATATGGCAGAAGTCGGAGTGCTTCGTGGCCTCAGCTCATCTGTGCTTCATCAGCTCGCTGACTGTCCTTCATCACTATGACACCAGCTCAACAAGAACAAGACTCACCGCTCCTCGTTTTCCTGAGTGATCGACCCCCACGTGTTTGAGCAGAAACATTAAAAGGGATAAAGTCACTTCACAGCAGGGAGTCGCTACACGCCAAGGCAGGCACGAGTTGAAACATCACAATCACACACGTTCAACATTTAACACTTAAATTACGAACACTCTCTTGTTTAACACGGATCGGCCTCGTTCCTCTGCCCAGAGACTCGGCAGTGCTCCCTGTTCCTGCTGCTTCTTCCTCGTCTGTTCAGTGACGCTTCATCTTCATCCCCTCACGTTTTGTCTCTTTTTGTGGCTTCGCACCATTTTTCTTCACGATTTGAGGCCCATCCGAGCCATCAGCTGTTCATAGACAGTCCAAGCCATCGCAGCCATTAGAGTGCGCCGAAGGGACCTGGGCACCGCCCCGCGGAAAAACCCGGCCAGGCCGCGCTTCTGAGGGACGAGGCAGAGACAGAAGGTTACAGGTGCAGAGTATCACATGACTCACACTAAACGCTCCCATAGACTCGGGCAGACCTCAGTCTGTGCCGAAACTGTGCGCTCTGTCCGCAGAGGGTTCAGACTTCATAATTCAGCGTCCACCCTGAGCGGCTACAGCCAGCTCCACAGGCAAGGGGCGTTTACCTTCAGGACAAACTGAGTTTACTGATTGATCATTTGCTGATGGGCCTAATAGATTGATTGACAGGTCGCAAAAAAAAAAAAAACCAACAAAAACAAGAGCTGGCAGCTCCATCTGCAGCGGTGTTCTGTGTTTACAGGTCCTTCTCAAAAAAATTAGCATATTGTGATAAAGGTCATTATTTTCCATGATGTAATGATAAAAATGAAACTTTCATATATTTCAGATTCATTGCACACCAACTGAAATATTTCAGGTCTTTAATTGTTTTAATACTGATGATTATGGCATACAGCTCATGAAAACCCAAAATGCCTGTCCCAAAAAATTTGCATATCATGAAAAGGTTCTCTAAACAAGCTATTACCCTAACCATCTGAATCAACGACGTAACTCTAAACACCTGCAAAAGATTCCTGAGGCTTTTAAAAACTCCCAGCCTTGTTCATTACTCAAAACCGCAATCATGGGTAAGACTGCCGACCTGACTGCTGTCCAGAAGGCCATCATTGACACCCTCAAGCAAGAGGGTAAGACACAGAAAGAAATTGCTGAAGGAATAGGCTGTTCCCAGAGTGCTGTATCAAGGCACCTCAGTGGGAAGTCTGTGGGAAGGGAAAAGTGTGGCAGAAAACGCTGCACAACGAGGAGGTGACCGGACCCTGAGGAGGATTGTGGAGAAGGGCCGATTCCAGACCTTGGGGGACCTGCGGAAGCAGTGGACTGAGTCTGGAGTAGAAACATCCAGAGCCACCGTGCACAGGCGTGTGCAGGAAATGGGCTGCAGGTGCCGCATTCCCCATGTCAAGCTACTTTTGAACCATAAACAGCGGCAGAAGCGCCTGACATGGGACTGCTGCTGAGTGGTCCAAAGTTATGTTCTCTGATTACAGTAAATTTTGCATTTCCTTTGGAAATCAAGGTCCCAGAGTCTGGAGGAAGAGAAGAGACAGAATTCACATTGCTTGAGGTCCAGTGTCAAGTTTCCACAGGAATTTAATACATCGGTGTTGAAAACAAAACAGTCCGTCGCCGAGCAGTTTATTGTGGGACACAGCGTACGTGGTCGTAAAAATTGAGCTTTGCACGGACATGCCCTGCGGGCGTCCGCTTCGACTACACGTGGCCCTCCGTGGACTGACGTACGCGCGAGTCTGTGGGAGCCTAAAGACCTCACAGTTTTATACTCTGTAGAGCATGTTCAGGAAGTTTCCTGTAAGTTATGACGTTGTTCTTGTTAGGACTGAGGAACATTCCCATGAAAACCATTGAAATGGTTATCTCATTATTATAAGAAGGTTGTGCAAATTGTCAGAGAGAACAACAAAGTCCATGCTCAATAATCCAGGTATACAAGCCAACATTTTTCAGTCAGGTCATCTGGACAGTTTCTTTTTTGTGCTGAAACATTTCACCTTCGATCCGGAAGGCTTCATCAGTCAAGGAAACACACAACAAAACTGATTCCTCCCTCAACAGCTTACTCCAAAGTGGAACAAACCAGTTCTGCTTGTGATAAGATGGTCTCATACTTACTGATGAAGCCTTCTGGATAGAAGGCGAAACGTTTCAGCACAAAAAAAAATAAACTGTCCAGATGACCTGACTGAAAATTGTTGGATTGTATACCTGGATTATTGAGCATGGACTTTGTTGTTTTCAACCAGTTTGACACGACTGTCAACAAGGAAGAGGGCCGGCAACGGAGGAGGGGGCGTACCAAAGAGACCATCTTATCACAAGCAGAACTGGTTTGTTCCACTTTGGAGTAAGCTGTTGGGGGAAAAATCAGTTTTATTGTGTATTCCCTTGACTGATGAAGCCTTCTGGATTGAAGGCGAAACGTTTCAGCACAAAAAAAAAACAAAGAAACTGTCCAGATGACCTGACTGAAAAATGTTGTCAGAGAGAACATTTCACAAAGCAAAACATGGAACGTTCCATCACTACAAATCTTGGTGAGGTTCTCAGATTGGCTTTGTCGGGGAGTTCAGAGAAAAAACCACAGGGTGGTGCTCCATTCAAAGTGCATCAGTTAGCACCACTAAAACATAAAGCTGTAGTGAGACGGATCAACTACCCCGAAAAGACTGAATCTTTTTAGTCATTGTCTTTATAATGATAAAATTTGGGGCCATACTTCTGGATTTTGTTTTCTTCTTTCAGCTGCTCCCTTCATCAGGGGTCACCACAGCGAATTAAATCGCACAAAGACTTGGTGATTATTTTTACACCAGATGTCCGTCCTGACACAACCACAGACCACCGAGCTACCACAGCCCTGTGTGGAGCAGAGAGCTGATATGTAGGGCATCCAGGGGAGCAGATGAAGTGCCTTGCTCAAGGGCCCAGAGTGGGGCAAGTTAGGATGGAGGCAGGTGCGGCTGCTTCACCTTTTTCACCCTTATTTTGATGTTGTTGGTACCAGGAGTTGAACCGGCAACCTTCTGATCACAGGCCCACCTTCTCTAACCTTTGCACCACCACTCCCCTGGATGTCTTAATCTCAACAATTAATCTTCTCTCACTCATTTTTTTAAACTTCTGATATGAAATGGTGCTACAGCTAAACAACACGTGATAAAGAAAGCAAAGAACATCTACAGGAGCCCGGATGTCCAAACTGAGGACAGACACGTAGAAACATTTCTCAAAAGTGGTCATAGAGAGCCAAGAAACCTTGCTGGACGCCGCAGCACTGCCAGCGTGGTGGTTATAATTGTAAATATCAGAATGTTTGATGCATACTATATTATATCATATACAAATTTTAAATGCAAATATGGTGTATCTAGAAGAAGTATAAAATGAAAAAATGTTTCTGGCATGGTGCCAGTCTTTTATTACTTTTCTCCTGTTGCTGGGATAGCTCCCAGTCCAACAGCAGATTGACCTTCCAGTTATCCTGCTGCTGGAGTCGGATCCTGTTCTGGGCCCAACCACCCACCAAATGCAGCTCTGCATGTCCCCGACAGCCTCCACCCTAAAGTGCAAGGGCCCGACGTCCTGATCTGAGGCCGCCACAAGGTTTGACAATGAACTACATGTGAAGGTTTGGTGAGTGGCGCAGTGGATCAGTGACTTAGTCTGGGCTCAAACATTAGAGCTCAATCTCTGACGCGATGCAGCCCAAGTGTTTGCCTGAGGAGAATATTTACAGCTAACTTTATGTACTAAAGCTACGCTAAGTGCTTGGAGTTGTTGTCGATCTGGAGCAGCCCCTGTTCAGGCTCTGCTCGTCCACAAGATATTCTTCCCACCCTGGGATTCAAAGGAGTTTTTTATGTCTGAAAGGAAAATGTGCTGTGACTATTTCCTGTCCACACCCACCCTGCTCCCCCTAACCATCGCAGTCGACAGAGTGGCTTCATGAGTCTTTAGCAAGACAAAAGCTATTAGTACTAGCAGAGATAAACATTTAAAGGTATTTTCTACTGGAGTTTCTTGTTTTGTTTCTCATTTCTAGATACAGTAGTCCCTCGCTACTTTGCAGTTCGACTTCTATAGACTCACTATCGCTGTTTGTGGACGTACAGTCCATAATATTATACAACAACAAAACTGTACAGGACACATGATGGTCAACTGTAATATTACCCACGTGATTGGGACAGTACTGGATACAGTACTGTACAGTAAAAAGTTAAGGAAAAATTAAATACTTTGGACAGGCTCCACCATTTTGTAGTTTTCTCTCAAAGCCTACACTGTATTCCCGCTCATAAAAACCACATTTCCCAGAAGGCAGCAGGGACCTGCCCAGAAGCCCAGTTTCCTTCTGTTGAAAAGACCAGAGATAAAGTTTTGATCTGATCGGCACCCAGCGGCTGCAGAGAACTGAACCCACCGAACCGGACTAGAACCAGACTTCCAGACCCATCGATGACTCCTGAGAGCTGCTACCTGGCCCACAAGGACTTTGAAACGCCGAAAACTCCGGAGCTGTTTCTGTAGCCCATCAGGACTTTTTTTCATCCAGACTTTGTTTCAGTTTTATTACCTATGGTCCCACGCCAGCCAACCGATGCCCCCCACCCCCACAAATGCGCTTTGGCGCTCAAGAGCTACGATGAACCAGAACCGGGCCTCCAGACTCAGCGGTGAACCCGAAAGCAAGTAAGCAAAATTTAGTAGCTACTAGGGATGCACAATATTATTGGCATGGTATCGGCTGATATTGGCAATCAAGTTAAATATCGGACATAGGCCATTCCATCAAAAAAACTCACCAATAAAAACGGCGCCGTTTCAGCACGTTATGACATCACGCACACCGATGAGTTTAGATTTGTGAAAATTTACAAATTTGCACTGTTCGAGTGTTGTCGTTGTGTTAGAGAGTAAATGTCATGAATCAGTTTAACATTAAACATAATCTAAGTTGAAGTGTTGCATCATTTTCATCCCCCTTCATCTGCATTGGCAACAGGCCAAACTGACAAAGACCATGTAGAATAATTAGTATTTTAATTCCACAGCAGAGAAAGCTCTGTAGTCTCTGTAAGTAGGTCAAGGAAAAAAATATTGGTATTGGTTATCGGCCAAAATCCCTAGTAGCTACATACAAGTATGTTGTTAAAATTAGTAGGTTTGAGTTTAGAACATTGCAAGAGTGTGGGAGGGTCTCTAAAGCCTTCAAATACATACAAATACTAAAATGAATATAACGTCACTACTTGGCAGAATTTCACTTACTGCAGGCGGGTTTGAAACTGAACCCCCACAACAAATGAGACTACACCTTCAACACACACGTGTGCACACACCATGTAGATGTAGCGTACAGCGTCTCCTGTGCTCCAGCGGGACGGGCTGACTTGAATGTGAGTCTTCACCACATCTGCAGGCTGCGTGACCAGCGACGCCATGACGCCTGCAACAACTCCACAGCTGAAGTTGGCCAGCGGGGCGTAGGGCGCGGACGTCACCTCTGAGGAAACACAAGACGGGTCTCATCAGACAGAGTTCCAGAGTCTGGAGCTCCAGCTGGACATGTCGCAGCACCTTGTGGCAGCGCCCTCTTGGCCTGGCTGTAGAACATGACGTAGATGCCGGAGAAAGGAGCGTCTCGGAGGAGCGTGGCGGTGAGCCCTGAGAACAGAGCCCGGAGCCCCTCGGTTTCATACATGCTCCTCAGAGCACCGGGAACACTTGCATAGTTGTAGTAGCCGCTCTGGAACACAAAGCAAAGACAAAACGTTCAAACATTCAGATTTATGGCAGAGAAAAGAGGAAACATCGAGTTTGACTTTCCTCTTTGTTACAGATTTCTTGTTTTTGTTTTGCATTCAGCTCTGGAATAAAACCACGGTCGTACAGACACGTGAGGAAACACTTTTCACTAATTTAACATGTCAAACACGTCAAAACTGCTTTTCTTACAAGCCAGTTATTACACAATGACTTCTTGTCAGTTACTAAAAATATAAAAATAAGTACATTTGAATGCAGTTTAACCAACGTAAACATTTACTGGTGACAGGTCAGGCTATCAGTGTTGGGAATAAAACCATCCCATTAAGGGTTTATCCTTCAGGGTCAGTTAAGGCTCGTTACATTTGGTCAAACATTATCAGAGAATTAAAAACTTTTTACAGTTTTCTGTTGTATCAAACAGTTCAAAGGAGGAAGACTGGGTCTCTGCTGGTAATCTTGGGTTTATAATCTAATCCAACTTTATTTGTAAAGCACCCCACACCCCCCAGCAGACCAAAGTGCTGCAAAGAATCACAGTAAAACACAAGAACAACGTAACTTTAGAAAAAACAAATTAATTATTTTTTTTGTGTTTAGTGAAATAAAAGCTCAAAAAATTAACAAATACCAGGTTAAAGTATTTGTTGGTATTTATAAAACTTTACTTGTTTTACAGATGAAGCTTGTAAATGTTAATATTGTCTTTATTGTAAGGAACTAGGCCTGTCACGATAACAAATTTTGCTGGGCGATTAATTGCTTCAGAAATTTTTGCGATAAACGATAATATTGTTTGAAATTTGACAAAAGTAATTATTGTAAAAATTTAAGAAGAAATGTTTAATTTGTTTTGAATGTAGTACCTTTTTTTTACCACTGGATGGCAGTATAAGACTGAACAGAAGGATGGATAGTGAGGGAGTGAGCAGCGTGTCTAAGAAAAATGAGAGGGAGGCCTCTTGACGTGACATGGGCTGTCTCTCTTTGGTTCTCAAAATGGCGGACGCTCGGTGTGGTTTGAGCTCTTTAGCATTTTTCACACAAAGCTTTTAATAAAACATCAGTAAACAAGTTCTCAGCTTCTTTTTGCAGAGGAAAACAACTTTTTACACGAAGACACGGGTTTCAACCGTGAATTTTGGAGCTTCGCCAAGACAGAGGTTTTTTCTCGAGGTTGGCCTGTTAGCTTAGCTTGCAGCTTAGCTTCTCAGCTTAGCTGCTTCTAATGATCCAAAAACACAATTTTGGACGGTTAAAATGGATTTTAAAGAGAAAGGGAGGAGTCAGTGAAGAACATCGGAGTTGAGCTTTTTGTCATCCAGTCCATGGCAGAACGAGAGACAAAGAAATGATAAAGCTGATAAATGAAAATGAAGTAGATAATTTGCATTTATCATGCAATTAATTGATTTATCATTTATTGCGACAGGCCTATAAGGAACGCCAGCAAATAAAAGATTAAATACCCTGAAACAGCTGTCCATAGACGTCCCAGAAGCTTTTAATAAATTTGCTTTGAAAACTAACAAATGTTTCTGGGGTAGACAAACACGTTTGACCACATTAAGAAAAAGAAACTTGAAGTTCTTAATGTGCACCTCCTCTGCCTGGCAGGACAAACTTTAAAGATGTGTGATCTGTTAAGTGTTTGGAGAATGAGTTGGGTACAACTCCCAGCTACTACCACATCAAATCCAACAGTTCATTCAGGTCCTCTGGAGTGTTTCCACGAATAAACCGTCCAGAGGACCTGACTGAACTTTGATGGATATTTTACCTGGATTATTGAGTAGGGATGCACCGATCCACTTTTTTTTACTTCCGATCCGATCCCGATACCTAAATCTGAATATCGTCCGATACCGATCCAGTTCCAATATCATGATCATCATTGATTTTATATGAGGCTGTAATAATCATCTCTCAAGTACAATTTGTACAAATATATGCATGCATGTCCAAAAAGGCAACTTGAGGTAAGTTTTATTAATGTTGGATAAGTTTTAAAGTTAGAATTAAATTCTGTTACCACAAAACATGTTTCTTTTTATTCCTAGATTCAAAGTGGATATTAAAGTGATTAATTTAAGTGATTGTTTAAAGTTATTATTATTTTTTTTTAAATAAGGGGCAGATATAAGAATTTTTTTCTTCTTTCTGCACTCTTTTCATTCAATGTTTTCTTTTTGATGATTTGTTTTGTATATTTTGTTTCATTTAAATGAATGAATAAATGAATTAAATTAAATTAAATGTTAAATGGGGGCAGCACGGTGGCGCAACTGGTAGAGCTGCTGCCTCTCAGTGAGCAGGTCCTTGGTTCAAACCCCGGTCCAGGGGCCTTTCTGGGTGGAGTTTGCATGTTCTCTCCGTGCATGCGTGGGTTTTCTCCGGGTACTCCGGTTTCCTCCCACAGACCAAAAACATGCATGTTAGGCTGATTGGTAACTCTAAATTGTCCCTAGGTGTGAGTGAGAGAGTGAATGGTTGTTTGTCTCGTTTGTCTCTATGTGGCCCTGTGATGGACTTGCGACCTGTCCAGGGTGTACCCCGCCCCTCGCACAGTGATTGCTGGACATGGGCACCAGCGACCCCCGTGACCCAAAATGGAATAAGCGGGTAAAGATAATGGATGGATGGATGGATGGATGTTAAATGGCTTCAAACATCTGCTAAGTTCATGGCATAAACCAACAGACATGTTCCTGTTTTTAGTATTTTACATCACTTTATAATGTAGCTGTTTTTGTTTTTAATATATATAATTTTCAAATCATGTTTTTTATGATTGTAGTGAACTAAGCCTCAGGTCAAATCTGGCCTTCCTGGGACAAGAACTGTATTTCATTGATTTGAGTGCAGAAACACAAGATTAAGTTCATCCAGAGACTTTCTAAGTGTCCTGCACTGATTAATTGAAAGAACACTCTCTTTTTTATTATCATTACTATTTTACAAATGTTTGATAATCAAAGTGTGTTTAGTTCAAACCATTTTTAAATGTTGAAGTGAACTACTCATTTTAATTCAACTGTGAAACAGTAGTAGTGATTTTTAATCCTCATTCAAAGTGGAAATCAAATTGGAATGTGTTACGGAGTAATTCATGCTTTTTCTGATCTTCTGTCTGAAATGAGCAAATTGTGAAGTTGGTCAAAGGTCGAAAACAAGTTGTTGGAACGAACTGTCATGTTTTTAAATCCTCTCAGACGTAATATAGAGAAGCTGGCACCTGTTTTCCCCCAACTCGTCCAAACATTTCTCTCGTCTGTCTCTAAAACATTTTCAATCTGTTCCAAAACATTTTCTGTTTTTCTGACTTCTAGTGACCTCTTACGTCACAAAAACACACCCCTGTCTGGTCGATTTGACCAATCAGGAACTTCCCAAATGAACCGGAAATAGAACTCTTTAAATGTCGGTACTTCCTAGTTCAAACCAGCTTCAGTCGAGAGCAGTCGAGTTCAGTTCGGAGAGCAAGCCGAACTGAGAAGTGCTGGAGAGAACAGGAGTTCAGACATGATCCGGAGCTCTTCCGAGTCTTGTGGGAATTATGCAATCTTCCACATCTGAGTGGAACTCTGACGGACACAACTCATGTGAGTCCACTCGTGAGGTGAACTGTTGTTGATGAAGTACCGCCACCACTCCGGACGGTTCTCTGCCATCCTACGGAGACGCTGGACCGGTAGCGTTAACTGGAACTCCGTATCCGCTGATTCATCTTCAGAGAGGTAATGAGTCGAGTTTACTACCGAGCGTACCGAGGAAAGCTGGGTTCGAATGGAGGGTGCCGTTCTGTTCAACACTTTCCCTCACACACCATCTCCCTCCCTCTAAACTTCATTTCCATCTTTAAAACTCTTCTATCCTGCTAGCAAATCATTCCAGATATTTTCAGAAATGTCTGTTGTGAAGCAACGGAAAACCATCGCCGTATGGCTTTCTAATTGTACAGCTTGCTAACTAAGCCATGTTGTTATTTTTCAATTTGCCAAATTAATGTAAATGTTTGATGTTAAAATTTGATTCTGTAAATAAATGACCACATTCATTTGATGGGTCAAAGAAAATTAACGTCTCACGTTACATTTAATTAAATTCAATGCACGATATTATTCAGTCCAGAAAAATGAATGAATCCATTTAATTTATGAATATATCACAGAATATGTTCATCTACATGATTGTCTACTGTTGTACTGATAAATATCTCCTGGAGGGTAAACTATATCTTGGCTGCAAGTATCAAGCTGAGAAATCCTACGTTTTCTACAACTGATAATGGTTGATCATTAATTATGATGAAGTTTAGCAACTTCTCTGTAAACATTTGAGCTCCGTGGTTTCAGCGATGTCTTCTTCTTGTTCAATCCGAAGCAGGCAGCCTGATTTGGGGCTGTCTGTCTGTCCCTCCTCAGAGACGGGGAGACCGAGCGGGGCAGATTGGACGCAGCTGGCCGGGGTCAAGTTGCCTCTTTTGGGTTGAGCAAAGAGCAGCGCCCCGCTGAAGCCACGGAGCTCGAACGTCCATCGTAAAAGTAACTTTACCGTGGTTTAATGTGGCGCTATGGCTCTGCAGACATTGCACATTGCGGTCTTGTTTTGTGGTGTTTAGTGTAAAATACTTCCACACAGCGGACATGTTTAGATGAAAAGTTTGGTAGCTGTTAGCCACAGTGCTGCTAACTCAGTCCTCACGTTGTAGCTGGCTGCAAACTATGAACTGGATTTCCTGAACGTGAGGCGGGTCTTATTACTCTGAATTCATGAGACACGCCTCCATTCAGGAAATCCATTCCATAGTTTGAAGCCAACGTGCATCGTGGATCGGAAATATCAGCAGGTGGATCGGAAAAATACGATACGTAAATTATGCTGGTATCGGAGGCCGATACCGATACTGGATCGGATCGGCCCCATCCCTATTATTGAGCATGAACTTTGATGCCACATCAAATGTATCTCAGTATCTCTACAACTGACTGAGTGGCAGCCATTCTATTAGTTGACGAAGGTCACTTAGCTTTGACAGCCATCTTGGATGGCTGACCTCAGTTTCTAAGTTGTAGATGTTCAGCCAATGATTACTTTGAAAGTTTCAGTTAAATCTGTCCAGTGACTCTAGAGATATTTCGCTAACACACAGACAGGGGAAACTGCCTTTCATGGCAGGATAGTAATTATAATACAAATGTTGTATTTTCCAGTGACTGGGATTGGGCTGAAAAACAGTGAATGTCCACACACCCAGGATATAACTGTGTGAAAGCCAGGATGCGTTTTCCCAGCAGGTTAGAAAAGTGTGGGTGAACAACAAAAAACACTAAAGTCACGGAACAGATGATGTGGAGTGATGGGTTCACGTCTGTGACAGAGATCAGTGAGACGTGGTGCACCTCAAAGCGAGTCTTGATGACTGTGAAAGGCAGCATGCAGACTCCAGCCACGGCTCGGGCTCCGGCTCCGAGCAGAACCGCCTCGCCAGCATTCGGAGCTCGGTCCAGAAGGAAGTGCTGCTTCAGGGAGTAGAAGGTGCTGAAGTAGATGCCGACCCCAGGGATGCAGCGAACAAACGACTGACGACAGAAAAGACAGGACTTTAACATTTCTATGATCATTTCAGATGCAGTCCTTTTGTTTAAATTAAATTAAGATGCAAGACATGTTCATAATGTCAAGATTGTTTTTCTGCCGTTTAGTCAGAAATCAATTTCCCACAGCTGATTTGAATAAAACAGGCCTGACCACAAGCTTTGCATGATATTCTCAAGCAGTTATGTTTAGCTTGTCGCAGAGTAAACTGTGTTTTCATATCTTTGCTAGTTTAGCTGCTCGAAAAAGGCAGTTAAGTAAAAACTAGCCCTGTGCAACTGCGACTGACGTCAGAGCTTGTTTTCATAAAACTACATACAAACATGCAACAAATGGCTTGATAGAAAAATGGTGTCGGGTACACACAGGCGAGACTCCCCTCCACAGACTGAAGAACTTCTCCGTCCTGATGACGTTGATGAAAACGGTGAACATTCCCACCTTCGGTGCACTGCAGGATCAGAGACAAACGCTCAAACATCAGCATTCAAAGGCTGATGGAGCACTTGTAACAACAAACCATCACAGGGAAATACATCACATAAAATGTAATGCTGTTCCATCCATCCATCCATCCATCCATCCACCCATCCATCCATCCATCCATCATAGTTTACCCACTTCTCCCTTCTCGGATCATAAATTCACGGCTGGACAAGAAGAGTTCCAGCTGTGTGACTGCAGTCGTGCAGCTGTATGGTATGATGGTGTGGTGCTGATGTGGCTGTTCTATGTGGGTCACAGAGGCGTGCATGTGTCCATGTTCACACGCATGAAACATGATTAGACACACACCCTGGTTTGGCGTTATTCTGCAGGGTCTGCAGCCGGGTCTTGACCAGATCCAAAGGCTGGAAGAGCAGCGTGGAGCAGGTGCCGCTGAGGGAGCCGCACATGAAGGCTTTGAGAGCTGGATGAGCCTGAGGACCACGACACGGATACACGGAGGAGGAGACGGGAACAAAGAGTGACACACAAAACAGCAGAAAGGAACAGAGGGATGAATAAATTGTAGAGTGATATAAATGACATGAAACGGTAACGAGACCCCGTCAGAACAACTCAATATTAAACATGTGCCGTTTAAAACCTTCACCAGCTGAAGATCAGCAAAATCCACGTTACATAAAGATGACACATAAAATCTGAACACAAAGAAAGAACACCTTAAGACAAAGAATTACATCTTATACATCCTGATGCATGCTTATTATTATTATTTAATCAATTACACATAAAATAATCCTGAACAGGAATTCATTTCAGCATGTTCCTGTGACATTCTGTGTAAATAACAAAGCCTGTGGCACCGAGCAGAGGGCAGCTTCCTCACAGATGATGGAGATATGTGGAGACAGCACGTGCACACACACACACACACGCACACACACACACACACACACACACACACACATAGGTCATCACGTTCATCTCATCTAACAAACCACAGTCCTCAGTTTTTAAATGTTCTTCAGAAAACAACACAACAGATTTTGGGACTTCAACATGGACGCCCCCCTCCAGACCCAACACTACAACACACCCACACTCACACACACACACACACACACACACACACACTCACACACACAGACATGGATACACACACGTGTTAAATTCAGCTGCATGTGAAGATAAACTGTTGCTCCGAAACAGAAAATGTTCTGCAGCAGCAACATGAAGTGATTAAAAGATAAATCAGTGAATTGAAAAAAAGAAAACTTCTCATGAAGGAAACACACGTTGCGTTCACACTCACACACAATCACACACACACACTCAGACACACACTCAGACACATACACTCACACACACACTCCTACCTTCCCCAGGCCTCGGCTCTGAGAGTCCTGGTTTTCCTGCATCTCGTCTCGCTGCTACAACCAGGACGACAGGAAACGAACCTGCATGTCTCACAAACCTTCCTTCTTCCTCTCCCCCCGACCCACAACGGCTTTCTCCCTTCTTCTCGTCATCCCGCCCCACGTTTCAGTCAAAGCAGAAGCTTAATCCAGCCCGCCGTTTTTCTAAAGGCTCCAGTCTTTATCTTTCAGAGACACTCTCACATGTGCACTTGGCTCTGCACCCCCCCCCCCACCCCCCCGCAACACTCACTGCTAAATTACATCTTTATCAAACGCATGAGTCATGAGGTGGAGAGCAGAAATTTAAAATGTGGGTCACCAGAAGAACAAGGCACAAGTGAATCCTACACAGGCGCTGGATCGAACACGTTTTTATTCTCATTTCAACCTTCAGGAAATATTTCAATCCATTTTTTAAACAGGATTAAGATTATTTTCTGTAAATTATAATAAATACGAACATTTGTACAGTGAACGTTTCATCATTAGAGTTTAGTGCCGGTACATGAAGCCAGTTAATCGTGGCAACATGGCTCACACCCAAAGATGAACCATCAGATCACAGCCACAGTACTGAGGGTGTTGCTCCGGCCTGCCACAGTGAACAAAGTGCCTCCATTTACTGATCAATATCTATATTCCAACTCTCACCAAGAGGTGGATCATGACAGAATAAGCAAGATCCCAGATTGACATGGATGAAAGCAGCTTCCTCTGAAGCCGTAGTGGAGCTGCTGCTCAGCTGAGTTGGTTTGGATCAGGGGGGCTCCTGGGCACCTCCCACTGGGAGCAGACCAGAACTTGCTCGACATCCTCCAGGAGGAGCTGGAAAGTGTGAGTGAGCAAGAGATAACCAGGTGTCTCTTCTGTACCTCTGACCATGGATGAGTGGTGGGCTCGCTGCTGCCAGGACAGTTGGTGCTTCCTCTGCATCAACAAACGTGTCATTACAGACTCTCTGTTTCTCTGAGAACCTCTTGATGTACGGATGGTTCCATTTTGGGGTTAACTGTTCTTTGAAGTTTGTGAGAAATCTATAAAAACCAGAAGCAGCATCAAAACTAAAACTGAACCCATTAAACTGCTTTGAATGGGATGATACTGGCCCAGTTTGTGCTTACACTGTGTTCCATGTTGTTATGCAAATGACATTTTTCTCTGGTGTTCCTAAACAGTTGCTGCAAATGACAGTCAGCAAAAATGTCAAGTCATCAACCGTTAGAGTAACATTCAGATGTGACTGAGAAAGCCTCCCAATGATTACAGTATTTTTAATGCACTGTTCCAAATTAACATGCTCAACAGAGTTTCTAAACATTTTATAAGTTGAAAAACTGAAAATGGTAATTTGTTGAATTTGGGACTCGTTGGATTGATGCATCCATTGAATGGGAGTTTTTGGAGTTTCTGCTTGAACTTCTTTGCAGGATGACAGAATAACCTCCCAGAGATGCTGTTTGGATGCAAACTGCCTCCCACCCTCGTAGATTTTCTGTTTCACGATGCTCCAGAGGTTCTCAGTTTGGTTGAGGCCAGGGGATGATGGGCCCACAGCATGACATTCTCTCCTTTTACGCCCATAGCAGCCAGTGATGCAGACGGATTCCTTGCAGCATGAGATGGTGCATGGTCATGCATGAATATGATTGTGTTATAAACAGTGTGGTTCTTTGTGTACCATGGAAGAAAGTGGTCCAACAGAAACTCCAGGTCATTTTCACAACTACAGGGTCCGACCACCCCATGATCCCATCACATGACTCTGCCACCTCTTTGCTGACATCGCAGCCTTGTTGGGACATGGTGGCCCATCTGGACCATCCATGGCACTCATCAGTGAACAGGACTGTTCATGTATTTGTGGGCCCACTGCAGTCGATCCTGCTTGTGAGCATTTAGGGGTGGTCAAATAGAAGGTTTGTGCACAAGTACAAGTCTGGAGGATCCTGCACCTTGACGTTCGTGGGACTCGAGCAGCTTCAAACATCTGTTGGCTGCTTTGTAATTAGCAGCCACTTTTTAAATTCGATGTATTTGTCTGGCAGAGACCTTTCTTGCTGTGCCTTTATCTGCACGAAGCCATGTGTGCTCTGAATCAGCCACAGATCTCTTATCAGGACAAAGACGAGAAAAGAGCACAAACGAGACAAATGGGATGAGCCTTGTTTTGTTGGGAAGTTGAAAATTATCTCACTGTTTGTTTCCTCCACAACTGAAAATACAGAGAAGCTCAAAACAAATGTCTTCATTTGTTGCTTACATTAGCTTGGACCTGCCATGTATTTAATTCACTGAACATGAAATAAACAATGTTTTGTTGTCATTTTACAACATAAACTACTGTATTCAGTGACTGATAACATTAATATTCAGGCCACGCGTGTAAGAAACTATTTTAAATCATTTCATAAGTGTTTTTGAACAGAATAAGGTTTTCTGTCAGGTTGGACTCACCGCCAGCTCCATGTTCGGAGTGGATGCTGATCCGGACGAGTCCAGTTTCTACCTTCACGCTTCCGGTTCGATCTGGTTAAATTCAGCACCGGTGGCCTGATGAACAGAGACAGACATGTCGGTTCGGTGGTCACAGTGATATGAACACGACTTGGTCAGGGTCACCAAGCTTTCAGGGATCGTCCTGCTAGCAAGCTAACGCTGCACGTTTCTTACCTGAGTCAGGGACCGATGAAAGTCACTGTCACTGAGAAAACCATATTTTATCTTTACGGTGACCCCCTGCGAGCGTTTCCATGGAAACCAACGTCCATATTACTTCTCAACTCGCCGGCCGGTGCGACAGCCAAATTTCTGGCAAGGCTAGTATGGATAACCGTTGTGTTAGCTTCGCTCGGTTTCTATAAATAATCAATTAAGCGCCCAATAATAATAATAGTAAAAAAGACTCCGCAAGTCGTGGCGGAAATTGCGCCTCCCGGACAGCTTCTACCCAGAAGTCACTCCTCCAGCTGTAGCTGTTAGCATCCGGCTAACAACCTTGTCCTCAGCTAACAGGAAGCAGCGCTACTACAGAACTGATCTTTTTAGAACTGATCAGTCGTAAATCAGAATCGGTGAACAGTATCTACGCGTATTTCTAGGCTCATAAGTGATCGGAGCCGTATTATAGTTGAACGTGAGCACATCGCGGCGAGCGTCAGCCGGTGCTGTATGGTTATGGCCACCAGATGTCGCTGTTGACCAGCAGTAACTACTAATGCGCATGCTCAGTGTCGGCGTGTGGTCTATGGATGTTTTTTTTTTTTGTTTGTTTTTTGTCATTAAACAGTACAAATACAACTTCAAACAAAGAAGAAAGAAAAATAAAGGCTAAAAAGGAGATAAATTAAACAAAAATTAATAAAATCAGACAATCGTGTTCCTTCAGTACTCACCAGTATAGAGTTCGGGGTTTTCCATGAGATTAAGGTCCTCTTCCATATTGAATTGATCCACAGCAGTCTTCTTTGTTCTCATGTGTTTCAGTGATGAAAAGAAGAGGCACAGTTCTCTGTGAACGGCAACAACATTTGGTCTAGCTTTAAGAAATCTATTCTTGTGAATAAAAACTTTCCTAGAATGATAATAGTGTTAATCATCAGCTCATGTACAGAGTTTTTTTTGTGTGTGATAAAATCATACAAGGCATTTTCAATTCTGGAATTTGTATATATTTAGACAACCAGTGATGTAAATCATCCCAAAAGGCATTAGTATATATGCAATCATAAAAAATGTGATCAGTGGTCTCAGCGAGTTCGTTACAAAATGAACAATTGGTTCATTCAAATCCAATGCGCGTGGAAAATCAGCAGAGTGGTATATTTTGTTAATAATTTTGAAATGAATATTTTGCATTAGGTGCGACAGGGAATTTATAAAATGTTGATCTTAATTGTTCAGCATCTTTTCTGGAGAAGGAATTTAGAATTGTGTTTCGGGAAGAGGAACAGGGATACAGCTCGTTGTTAAATATGAAACAAACAGTTGTTTCGTTTGGAGTCCAAAGATTTAGATTATTCACTAAAAGCGGGGGAAGATTCGTGTTTGGAACATTTGTATATAAATTAGATGTCATGATTATTATAGTGTGAGGTATTGCATTAGTCACTTTCTTATATTGCTTTTATCATTCAAGTTAAATTTGGAACTAAAATTTTCAAATGTTATAATCTTCCCTGTCGAATCGAACAAGTGTAAAATAACCGTATGCCTTTACCTAACCAGTTTTGTAGAAATATAGATTTAAGGTTATGTGATATATATCTGCAGTTCCAGAGTGGGGCGTTGTGTTTTAAATCATTTTCCAGTTCAGTAAAACCTGTTGATGAAATGATGAGAGTTTATGGGGGAGCTTTTTTGGGTCATAGTCATGTTTGAGGAGAAATTCAATGCCACCTCATTTCTTGAAGATTTCATTACGAATATAAAACCAGAGTTTTGTTGATTTTAAGATCAACCAATTTATTTTAATTGTGCCATCAATACATTCAAAATCTAAGACCTCCATCTTTGTATTCCTGTGTCATAGAGCCTTTTTTAATATAATGTGTTTTCCTTTTCCAAATGTAGTTGAAATTTGCTTGATTTATAGCTTTAATTGCAGTTTTAGGAATTGACCATGAGTATGCAGGGTAGATGAAATGAGAAATACATTCCATTTCTGTAAGAAAAGTGCGGCCTATGATTGAAATGTGTCTCTGAGACCAAGAGTTCAGATATGTTTGGCTTCTTTCCAGATGGTTCCAGATGTTGAGTTTAGTTAAAGGGTCCATGTCTTAGTTATGTGTATGCCTAAGTATTTTATAGTGGTTTTAACAGGAATATTGTGAATGCTTGACTGAGCAGAATTATGAATAGGTAGTAATTCACATTTGTTGAGGTTTAGTTTTAGTCCAGATGTTTAGAGAAAAATTCTACTGTCTCAAGGATTATAGGGAGTTGGTCGGAGTTTTTCATAAATATTGCTACATCATCAGCTAATTGGCTAATTGTTAATTGTTGTCCCAACACTGTTAGTTTTTCAAAATTCAACTGTTTGATGAGGATAGACATCAATTCAGCTGCTACAATAAATAATAGGGGTGAAATTGGACATCCTTGTTTAGCACCTTTGCCAATGAAGAATCTAGGAGATGTACCTTGTTGTAATAGGACTGAGCTGACAGTCAGAGTCAGAGATTCTTTATTGTCATTCGCACCTCATGTGGTACATGTGGTGGAGCGAAATTATGTACACAGGGTCCCAGTTACATCCAACAATAAAATGTTAAAGAAAAACGGTGATAAGATCTAAGATATGAACTAAGAAAAACATCAACTAAATATACACTAAGCACTCATAACATAAAACATTGAACATCAGCACAAACATGAACATGAGCGGACGTGCACGCATGAACACATCAACATTGAAACAGATCAGCAGCAACATGAAACAGATCAGCAGCAACATGATGTGGTTTTTCACAGTGATTATTCTGGTTAGAGATTCATGAGTCTAACAGCCTCAGGATAGAAGCTGTTCCTCAGTCTAGTGGTTCTACACTTAATGCTCCTCAACCTCCTTCCAGAGGGGAGCGGGGCAAAAAGAGTGAGTGCTGGGTGAGTGAGGTCCTTCATGATGCAGGTGGCCCTCTTCCTGCATCTGGAGGTGTAAATGTCTGTGATGGTGGGGAGGCTGACTCACTATGCCCAACATCTGTGCAGCCTTCACCACTCTCTGCAAAGCTTTTCTTTCTGCAGCTGTGCAGCCTCCATGCCACACGTTGATGCTGGAGCACAAGATGCTCTCCACTGCACACCTGTAGAAGGAGGTGAGGACTGAGCTTCCCAGACCAGCTCGTCTCAGCCGCCTGAGGAAGTAGAGTCTCTGATGAGCGTTCTTGATCAGGCTGGTGGTGTTGTTGCTCCAGCTGAGGTTGTCATTCATTTGTACACCCAAGTACTTGTAGCTGGAGACGACCACTTCCACCGCATAGTATAGTGTGTAGTTATAGTGTCCTTATAAATTCATTTAATTATATTTAAGCATTGTTTCCCGAATCCAAAAAATTTCTAAGGTTCCAAAGGTAAATTTGTGTTCGATCATGCCAAAAGCTTTAAAAAAGTCCAAGAATAGAATAAATCCGTCATCTTCTATTAGATGATTATAGTCCAGTAAATCCAATATTCATTCAACCTTTATTTAAACAGATAAATCACATTGAGCCTTGAAGACTCATTTACAAGTGAGACCTGTTTGGACAGACAAAAACTGATTAACTGGACACATGTAGGAGTTGGAGGCAAAAACAATTCCTATCAGACTTTTTTTTTTCCTACCTGAGGAAGAAACCCTCTAATATTAAAAAAACACCTCGCACAAACAAGCACATAGTGACATAGACTTTCAGCGAGGGGGGGGGCGGGGGTCAGCATGTTCATGGATGCTCTCCAAGTCACTGTAAGAGTTCTAAGGATGGAAAATCAGTCAATGTCCTCCGGTGAGATCCATAAACATTCTCAAGGTCGAAGAATGGCCAAGAATAACATCTATAAGAATCCAAGAGTCCTGAAATGATGACGCAAAGTTTATTCAGCTGGTTCCATCTGGTTATCAGTTGGAAATTCCTCAGGGAGGGGTATAAGTCTAATGTTGTTGTGAATCGAGCGTCCTTTGATGAATCCAGATTGTGTGTTTGAAATAATGTCCATAATACAACATTTTAATCTATTTGCGAACATATGGGCAAGTATTTTGTAATCATTGTTTAATAGAGTTATGGGACGGAGGTTGTCAATTATTTTTGGGTCCTTGTTAGGTTTGGGAATTAGGGTTATGACAAGCAGAACTGGTTTGTTCCAATTTGGAGTAAGCTGTTGGAGGAAGAATCAGTTTTGTTGTGTGTTTCCTTGACTGATGAAGCCTTCTGGATTGAAGGCGAAACATTTCAGCACAAAAAAAAAAAAACTGTCCAGATGACCTGACTGAAAAATGTTGGAATGTATACCTGAATTATTGAGCATGGACTTTGTTGTTTTGACTCCTTGTTTCATTGTAGTAGGTAAGATAAAGATTGTGGATATTTTTTTTAGCATATTAAATATTAAGTCTTTTCAGGGAGTCCAAAAGAGTTTATAAAAGTTACTCGTTAGACCATCTGGGCCTGGAGATTTATCTAAGGCTAAACAATTCAAGGCTTTTTCTACTTCTTCCATTCGGATTTCTGCATCACATGTATTTTTAAAACTCTCGCCCACAGTAATGATCTGTTCTCTGACAGATTCAAAGAGAGCTTCAGCATCTGTATGAGAGTAAGAAGAGGAGAGCTTCAGCATCTGTATGAGAGTAAGAAGAGGAGAGCTTCAGCATCTGTATGAGAGT